ACTAAATGAACTGTTGTAAGTTGAGGACTATCTGTATACTCCATTCAGACATATCTCTTTCTCATGCATACATGCATATAAGAGCCGAGGTGGCGCAGTGGTTAGAGTGCAGTACTGCAGCTACTTCAGCTGACTGCTAGTTCAGCAGATCAACGGATCAAATCTCACGGGCTCAAGGTTGACTCAGCCTTCCATCCTTCCGAGGTGGGTAAAATGAGGACCCAGATTGTTGGGGGGCAATATGCTATTTAGTATACTGTCTTTGGTGTAAGCCGCCCAGAGTCCTCGGAGAGTGGGTGGCATAGAAATATGGCTAATAATAATAATAAATAATAATAATAATATATATCGTCTTTATTTTGAAAAAAAGCCAAGGTAGAAATTAGGGTTTTTTTCATACTAAATAGAAAACAGCAATAGCACTTAGACTTATATACCACTTCATAGTGCTTTACAACCCTCTCTAAGCGGTTTTACAGAGTCAGCATATTGCCCCCAACAATTTGGGTCCTCGTTTTACTGACCTTGGAAGGATGAAAGGCTGAGTCATTTCTGAGCCTGGTAAAAGGAGGCTTATTGACAAATAAACACACAAAGACATAGACAGTCTCATACACATTCCTCAGGAATTTCAATTCTGGCATTCTAGACTTAAGTCCATTTCCGAGGCCCAGTTGACCCAGGAAAAATGTGTTTTGTTTTTTTTCCTGGGTGGAGGTGGGGCTGTGAAAATGGAAAGCAGTGCTACTTCTGTGCAGGGATAAATCTTCCACTTCCCTCACAAACACATGGTCCCAGTTATCCAAGCCAACGCTCTCTTTGTACAGCTGCAGCAGTTTGAGATATTGTTTCTTTAAGCACTGTTTAAGTATTTTCCTTATATTTCTCCCCTGGGAAAAAATCTGGTTTGTAATAGGCTTTATGGAAACAAATATATATATATAAAAATAATAGAATCCATGGGGAATCTCTTGGAATATACAGAAAGAGGTATATTAGTGCACTCACTTGTGCAATAAAATGGTTGCTTTCACGGGGCAATAAGATAGAATGTCAGGAACAGCAGTTACTGCTATACATTTCTAAGTATGAAAGAAGCCCATTTTCACTTTTAAAAGAGCTAAAAAGTTGGAGAGATTAAGTGAGTGTGAAAGGAGACTCGGCTTCCTCATCTTGTCTTTGTGTCCCATTTCAACCTTCTCACGCACCCAAGAGAGTTGCAAGCATAAATAGTCCTCACTTAACAATTACTCATTCAGAGAGACTTCAAACTTCAGTGACAGCACTGAAGAGGGGGTACTTACAATTGGTCCTTAAGGTCCAGCTGTCATGTGATCATGAAAGTGCGCCATTTATTTATTTATTTTATTTATTTAAATTTCTATACCGCCCTACTCCCGAAGGACTCAGGGCGGTGAACAGCCACAGGATAAAACACATAAATACAAAACTTTAAAATAGAATAAAAATGAATTAAATAATTTGGCTGAACAAATTTAAAATACCCCACAATTTAAAAACAAATTAAAATTTACATTTAAAAAGGGGAGAAGATTTAGGCCAGGCCGGCTTGATGAAATAAAAAAGTCTTAAGCGCGCGACAGAAGGTGCGCAGATCCGGGATCCCCCGTATCTCCGGGAGGAGCTCGTTCCAGATCGTAGGTGCCCCCACAGAGAAGGCTCTCCCCCTAGGGGCCGCCAGTCGACATTGTTTGGCCGACGGCACCCGGAGGAGCCCCTCTCTATGGGAGTGTACTGGCCGGTGGGAGGCTATTGGTGGTAGCAGGCGGTCCCGTAGATAACCAGGTCCTAAGCCATGCCATGCTTGGCTAGTCATCTCAGCATCTTGCAGTCATGTAATTCAGGGGTGGGTTCTACTTACCTTTACTACTGGTTTGCAATGGGAGCATGCATGTGTGCTTGCTTTGCTCCCGTGCACCAAATTGACATCAGGGTGGGTGGGTGGAGCCTTCCGCTGTTTTTACTACCGGTTCTCAAGAACCGGACAGAACTGGGAGCAACCAACCACTGATGTGATTGCCATTTGCAACTTTCACTGCCCACTTCCAACAAGAAAATTCAATGGAGAAACTCCATTGGGTATACATTGAATTTACCGCTCTATACTGCTGTAGGGAGGATACACTTGGAATACTGCATCCAGTTCTGGTCGCCATGATACAAAAAAGATGCTGAGGCCCTAGAAAGAGTGCAGAGAAGAGCAGCAAAGTTGATAAGGGATGTGGAGGCTAAACCATATAATGACTAGGTGGCTCAGTGGTTAAGACACTGAGCTTGTTGATGAGAAAGGTCAGCAGTTCGGTGGTTTGAATCCCTAGTACAGGTCTCCTGTGTGAGCAGGACATTGGACTAGATGACCTCCAAGGTCCCTTCCAACTCTGTTACTGTTAAAGTGTAGAACATATTTGATCATCATCATCATCTTCTTTTTATGACCCCATAATTCCTTGCGGGGTAGAGTCTGGGCAACTGAATGGAACTGAGTGTTCACTGGCTGGATGCCCTTCCAGTCGCCAATGAGGAGTTTTGTTCAGCAGATATATTCCTATTGTGCCCAGAGAAAGAAATATCTACCTCTACTTAGGTTTGAATTCACAGCCTTCTGATTATGAGGCGAGAGCGCCACCTCTAGGCCACCACACTAGTGGTGGGTTCCTCCCAGTTTGGCCCGGTTCTCCCGAGCCGGTAGCAGTGACGATATGACGTCACCGAACTGGTTGTGGCCCCCACTCACCTCTGCACCCACCCCCACCCCTACCCCCCACGTCCCCCCCATCTCCCGTGTTATTCTTACCTTTTATTTGGCCCCACCCCCAATCTATTGCTGCCTCCTGAGTCCCAGCTGATGGCTAGAGGGAAAAAAACTGTTTAAACTCTTGCTGCGGGGCTTCAAAGGGCCGCCCTACAGCTGATCAGTGTTAAAAGAAAACAAATGAGTAGATCAGTGCCTGCAAAAATAAATGGGTAGACCAGTGCCTTCAAAAATACACGAGTAGATCAGTGCCTGCAAAAATACATGAGTAGACCAATGCTTGCAAAAATACATGAGTAGATCAGTGCCTGCAAAAATACATGGGTAGATCAGTGCCTGCAAAAAATAAATGGGTAGATCGGTACAGCTCTGCAAGCAGTTAAAAGCCTGGTAGACCAGTACCTCTGCTAATCCTAAATAATTGTCACATGAACCAAGCCATGCCCACAAAATAAGCCACGCCCACAGAACCGGTAGTAAAACAATTTAGAACCTACCCCTGCACTGCACCACTCAATTAACATATGTGATGAACTTTTAAAAAAAACCTAGACAGAACTTCAGTAACCATGGCCACTATTGTGATTTCTTTTTTTACTGCACCCTATGGACACCCCTGATATGACTAACAGCCATCATAAAATATCTGCAATTGCATAGTTTTTACTATGCAATTTGTATATTCTATACTGTGTACATACTGAACATTTTTTAAAGTACACCCTTTTATACATGTGTAGACATTAAACAATAGATCATTTGGTTTTTTGAGCCAATCTAAGCTTGATGCAACTGCAAGGGATCATGGGATTGGGTTGTGGGCTTGTAGGTGTAACTTTGACAGACAGTCAAACACATCTATGAACAAAGACAGGCCGTCAGGCATCTGTTAACAATTCACAGTTCATGCCTCCACTTAACTAGCACTTGAGCTGCACTTCTAGGAATAGTCAGGGTGAGGGTGAGGGGCCAAGACAGACACTTCTAATCCTGGTTTTGTTCCGAATTAAATCCATTTATTATTAGGCCAAACATGAAAAAAGTGTATTTCCTCCCAGAATGTTTTGTAGTCCTGGTTAATATTTAATTCTGGGATGTCTCCACTGTATATATCAGTCTGGAGTTAAAACTGTATAAAACTGCTGTTCTGGCCAGTGAAAGATCCCACTAGGAATGTAGTTGTCTACACCCCACAACTAGAGCCTGTGGATATGACTCTGGAGTAAAGAGCAGCTGTTGCCAGAGCAGCAACTCTGTTATAGTATGTTTCCAACTAAGTGCTATCATTTAGAAGGAAGCATCTGGCAGGAACAGCCAATGGTGACAGCTTATTGGGCAGAATCTGAAGGAAATGTAGAAAACACTTAGCTATTTTACCTGCCCCTGCAGTAGAAGTTACAAGAAGTGGATGCTGGGAAAAACATGGATTGTCTTGTCACTTCTGTTCAGTTGAACGATCTCAGAAATTTATTGTTTGGCAGAGTAACACAGCTAGTCCTCAATTTACAGCCATAACTGACCCTGGAATTATGGTTGTAATTGGTGGCGATTGTTAAGTAGATCACTGTGTGACTGTGCCTGAATTTATTATCTTTTTGTAATAGTCATTAAGTGAATGCGGCAGTAGTTAAACCAAGCCATTTTAGCAATGGGAGGTTTTTTTTTCAGAAACCAGAAATATATTGCCAGAAACTGACAAAAAATGTCAAAAATTGTGGTCATGTGACTGCAGGATGCTGCAAACGGCTGTAAATGCCAGCTGGTTGCCAAGTGCCCAAAATACAATCACGTGACCATGGGGGAGGGGGTGTTTGCAGCCATTGGAACTCCAGAACAGGGTCATAAATAGCTTTTTGAAGGTCCATCATAACTTCTAATGGTCTCTAGGCAACCATGTGTTAAGTGAGGACTACTGGTAAGGGGAGATTCTCAAACACATCACCTTCAGATCTCAAAGAAAAGATAGATATGAATGTAAGAACAGATACATTGATTATGAATTATGCAAAGAGTTCAATTGATTGCATTGAACCACTGAACAGTTTTATTTACTTCTTTAAGGTGGTACTTAAAATACTTAATGGTGTTTCTACAATATTTCATCTTTACATATGGAGGCTTTACGTATTTCACCAGTATTGGTAAAAATAGGCAGAAAATGCTTTCAGCAGAAAATCATTTTTAATCCCATATTTTTATTTACTTCCCCTGTCTCACGACTGCACAGCTCTTACTGTGGAAGAGGGTATTATCCGCTTGATGAATGGCTCTGGTCCTCATGAAGGACGAGTGGAAGTCTTTCACGATCGACACTGGGGAACTGTGTGTGACGATGGATGGGACAAGAAAGATGGGGATGTGGTGTGTCGGATGCTGGGTTTCCGAGGCGTTGAAGAGATTTACAGAATGGCCGTATTTGGACAAGGTAAGAAAATAAATACATTCCTGAGATTAAATAAATTGCACTGATGTTAGAATTCAGCCTAGAAAACCGATCTAAATAATTTAGTGTAAGGGTGTTAATGCAAATAAAACAAATAGTTTGTGGTGCTTTTGTTGTAGGATGTTTATCAAACTGGGTTCTTTGACAACTTGGATAAATTTCACTAGACTCAGAGGGGTGGGGGGAATATTTTCCTAAGGGACTAAGAAAAAAAAAACTAATGAACTCAGCAGGGGTGGGTTCTACTTACCTTTACTACCGGTTTGCAACGGGGCCACGTGTTCATGCTCGCTTCCTGATGACGTTGGGGTTGGTGGGCGGAGCCTCCTGCCGGTTTTACTACCGGTTCTTGTGAACCAGTCCGAACCGGGGGCAACCCACCACTGGAACTCAGCCATCTAATCCTGCCTCAGTGCTGTTTTTGGGAAGCAGGTTTTCTACGGTCCAGTGCTAAATGTGGGGCTTGTCAGCTGATGCCCAGAAGCCCCATTCCTCTTGCTCAGGGATTCTGGAGATTTCTAATTGTTCTTCCTTAATGATTGGGTTTTGCAGCCTGAAGAGTTCCACACTTCCATTCATTTTCTTGAAGAAAATTTTCCCATTAATATGATGCCTGCGACCTACCAGATAGGGTTGTTTGTTAGGATAAACCCAGGATCATAAAAAGATAAAAAAAGATAGTGGTTTTATAGAAATGTCCATGTAGGATTGTTTGGCAACAATACAGAAGTAGTTTTTTCTTATTTTCTGGGATGTTTTTCAACTTCTCTGTCCCTGAGAGGTCAAAGAAGACCTATCCAAGTACTAACTAGGTCCAATTCTACTTAGCCTTTTAAGCTTGGAGTTGTTTAGTTGCTGGCACCAAAACATAACTCTGGAAAATAGTTTGAACATTTCAGAATGTGTAAGAAGTGCCAATTCAATCTCCAATTAAAAGGAATTCATCAGGATTAGAAAGAACCTCCATGACTGAGTCCATTCAACACATTATTGGGCTAATAAAACTAGGCTGCTGTAGGCTGGACAAATCTGGAGGACCACCAGAGGACAGTAGAGAGGCAAAAAACTCAGTCCCTTGGTTAACATCAACTGAGTCCCTGAGGTTTTCCATCCCAGATCTGCAACCTTAACAAAAAGCAGGTGCAATAGTAGCCTCTTCCTGCCAGCTTTATCAGATAGATCAAATAGAAAACAGATAGGCTAATTCTGCTTTATCGTAAAGCTACATTAACAGAACGTTGTAAGTTTGAGAGTACAATTCTCCCAACATCTCATCCCAACATCTTTACAGCCCAGGAAATTAGGGAGAGCCCCTTCTGAACCTATTACCCTACCTAATACTATCCAGCTGCTGACTATGCTCTCTCTTATCTGACCATCTATGGCAGGGGTGTCAAACTCATGTCGTCATGGCAGCATCATGTGACGTAGCGGGACTTTTCTCCCCGTCACTAAATTAGGCATGGGCATAGCAAGCGTGTGATGCATCTGGCTCATCAGGGCCGTCTTAATAGCATTTTGGGCCCCGGGCAAAGCAGTGTACTAGGGCTCCTATGACAACCACTCACAGGAATAAAAATGTAAATGCACTTCCAACAAAATTGGTGTTGAAAAACACAATGATACTCAATTGCTGTATTCATATGATACAAGGTGCATTGAAGGGTTAACATACACAAATTAGTATGGGGCCCCTATGCTCATAGGGTCCATGGGCAAGTGTCCATCAGGCCCATGCATTAAGACAGCCCTGCGGCTCATGGGCTGGGAGTTTGACAGCCCTGGTCTCTGGAGATTCTCAATCATCCAGGTCATGGTTGTCCCATGAGGCAACTGGACTTTCTGGACCAGGAAGTTCAGTTACCTCTTGAAAAAACACCTTTGAGATCTCTTATCTAACCATTCCCTCTTCACCCCATCTCCCAACTTCTATCCCAGGTACCAGTGGTGAAATCCGCTTACCTTCGGTACCGGTTCGGGAATGGGTGTGCATAGCATGTGTGCACTTCTTATGCACATGCACAGAACCTTCGCATGCACAGATGGTAAAAAAAGGGGACATAATGATGTCCCGGCGGGTGGGTGGAGCCTCCCACCACCGGTGCTACTGGTTCGGCGAACCGGAGAGAACCAGGGGGATTTCACCGCTGCCAGGTACCATTATACTTCCCTGATGCCCATTCCTTGCCCTCATCTTCACAAAATCCCACCCCTACAGCTATCAAATCTGGGCTAGAAAAATTCTGATGTGGTTCTTTTTCCCAGTCCATATTTCATGGCAGCTAAGAATTTGAGTTAGAGTTTTTGTATCTTTTTGCTACGTTGTCTAGTGGGCATCCAGATTTTTGGAGCCTCAACATTTTTGAAGCCTGATTGTGGGGTCAAAAGAATAATAGGATAATAGTACAGAATGAAGGATGAAGCAAAGAAGGGAAAAGCTCTCATGCTACTATCACATCTGTGCACCCTACACTTACAAGAGGAGCTCTTAGAGTCTCTGGTGGTTTTTTGATGGATTGTTCTTAATTGCTGTCTACTTCTTTTTGGTCTTCTCCTTCCTGAATGAAGAAATGAGAGGGGAGGAGCATAAGCTTACAGTATCATGTCTATGGAGATTCTCAGTCATCTAAGTTATGGTTGTCCCAAAGGTGCTTTTTTCAAGAGGCAACTGGAGTTTCTGGTTTTTCTTTGAAGACGTTCAGCTTCTCATCCAAGAAGCTTCTTCAGAACTTCAAAACTGAAGAAGATTCTTGAATGAGAAGCTGAACGTCTTCAAAGAAAAACCAGAAACTCCAGTTGCCTCTTGAAAAAAGCACCTTTGGGATTTATAGTATCGTATACGACGGCAAAGATCTCCTGCCCAAAGAGATACAGGACATGTTCACCAGTGGTGGAATTCAAATTTTTTTACTACCGGTTCTGTGGGCATGGCTTGGTGGGCGTGGTGTGGCTTGGTGGGCGTGGCTTGGTGGGCATGGCAGGGGAAGGATACTGCAAAATCTCCATCCCACCCCACTCTGGGGCCAGCCAGAGGTGGTATTTGCCGGTTCTCCAAACTACTCCAAATTTCCGCTACCGGTTCTCCAGAACCTGTCAGAACCTGCTGAATTTCACCCCTGATGTTCACTCTGCTGCCTTCTAGCTGTCTTTCGGTGTGCTCATCTCAGCTCAGTTCAGATGACAGTTTTGCTTTGGGGCCCAGAGAGCTTTAATTATTTTCCCACTATAAAAACTTCCTGTTAATAAAAGTTTCACTCCAAACCTGGCATGTTTAAGGCATTCACAAATTGCTTTATTTTTGTAAGTTAAGGAAAACAAGACACTTGAGATTGCAAGCCTATTGCACAACTCTAAACGTCAGTGTAGTGATCCTCCAATATTACTCATGTTTTTTTTCTAAATGTCCCAGATTACGAGAAACAGGAACTGGGGAAAATTTTACAAGTTCCCAGATTCCCAGATAAGAAGCCTTGGTGGCGCAGTGGACTAAACTGCTGTTAAAGTAGCACTTAGCTGCCAGCTGCCTGCAATTACTGTGAGTTCAATTCTCACCAGGCTCAAGGTTGACTCAGCCTTCCATCCTTCCGAGGTAGGTAAAATGAGGACCCGGATTGTGGGGGCAATAAGATGACTTTGTATAAAATAGAACACCGCTTGGGGGGGGCAAAAAGCCCTACTAAGCAGGTATATATAAAAGTATGAAGGCTATTGCTTAATGCATTGAAAACCGCCCTGAGTCTCCAGAGAAGGGTGGCATATAAATCGAACTAATAAATAATAAATTTAGATGATGGTTCGTCATAAATGTTTAGCTGCACGCAGAGGTTTTCCCTGTGGTGCCTTTCTAACTGGTGGGCTGGCACTGCACATGTGTTTGTGGGGATCAAGGGGATACCCACACACTTTTCCAGAGAGAGGAGGGCACAAGAGGTGTTGGAGGAAAATTGTTCCACACAAAACCTATCCCATGTGATGGAAAAGGCAGTGTCCTGATTGGATCCAAAGCATAAAGCAATGTTAGCACCAACCCACTGGTTTTTATTGCTTTTTTTTTTAAGAGGAGGAAAACATTCTTATTCGCACACTTCGATATTCATACGACCAGTTTGTAGAAATATGTTTAGGGATGTGATCCATCTCCAGCCATTTTACGGTTTTCAATCAGTATGTGTGCCTGCATAGGAAAGAAAATCACTTTCCCCCATGGCTGTGATCACAAAACATGCTTAATCATGCCAGATATAGCTGGGTTCATTTTAACTTTGCCTAGGTTTTGTGTGGCTTAGCCTGTTGTTTAAACTCAACTTCTTTAACTGGTTTATAGTTCAATGGATTATGCAAGTCATAAAAATTAAATAGGTTGTTGATAATCAGATAGATGGAAGATGGATGGATGGATGGATAGATGATAGATAAGCTAAATGTCAACACAGAGAATCCAGTTTTACTGCTAAGAAGCCTAAGACGTAAAGCCTAAACATAATTGAGGTACCTGTGCACTACTATGGATAGGTTGTTAAGATTACAAGAAAGCTGTTATTAGCTATTGCTAGTAAACACGATTAATGTGTTTTACTTGAGCTTGATTCCTATAGTAAATGCTAATTTACAATAGCACAAACTAGCAACAATCATATAGCAACAATCATATCCTGAACTCAAGGCTAATTCTAGCATCTCATGGTGCAGAGTTTGGTCCAGAAACATCTGTTGATCTTTCAGGCATCTTAGAAAAAGAAAAGTGCTACAGAGGGAAGTAATGGCTGTCTTCCAGCTATTTTTGAAGAGACGTTTCCCAAATTTACAGAATTCTGGTAGATAGATTTCCTATTTTTTTTTTTTTTTTTTGGTCACTTGGAATAGAAGAGGAAACTGGCAGCATGTTTCTTTGTTTTACTCAACTTCCCAGTTCAAAAACTTTGCAAGTGGCTGCATCAGAATTCCATGGGTTACACAAAATGTCTGTTGCAATATTTTTAGGA